ATCGCTCCTAGTGGGAAGGGCCCGGTAAGCCATCGACGGTAACGGACGGCTGCTACGCGTGGAACGTCTCGCAACGCGCGTGTTCAGCTCGTAGTAGGAGATGGAGCACCAGAATGCAGGCTCGCAGTACGTCACCGGCATCACGTCGAGCGGCGGGCTCGGAGACGTCGGGATCGTGTCCGCGACCGCGTCCCAGTTGCTCGGCGACGAGGCGACTAAATCTGGATCGAGAGCGAGGTGACGGGGCGATCGAATCCGATTAAGAGTGGGGCAACAGGGCGATCGAATCTGGATCGAGGGGATGGGGGACTAAATCTGGATCGAGAGCGAGGTGACGGGGCGATCGAATCTGGATCGAGAGCGAGGTGACGGGGCGATCGAATCTGGATTAAGAGCGGGGTAACAGGGCGATCGAATCTAGATTAAGAGCGGGGTAACAGGGCAATCGAATCTGGATCGAGGGGATGGGGGACTAAATCTGGATCGAGAGCAAGGTGACGGGGCGATAGAATCTGGATCGAGAGAGCGAGGTGACAGGTCGATCGAATCTGGAATCGAGAGCTAGGTGATGGGGGGGGATCAAATCTAGATCAAGAGTGGGCTGACATGGTGATCAAATTCGGATCAAGAGCGAGGTGACAGAGCGATCGAATCTGGATCAAGAGCGAGGTGACAGAGCGATCGAATATGGATCCAGAGCGGGGTGACAGGGCGATCAAATCTAGATCAAGAGCGAGGTGACAGGGCGATCGAATAGATGGGCGAGGGGGTAGAAATAAGGAGAAAAAAAGTGATGGTCCTCCTAAATTTCAAATTGTTCTCTAAAGGTAATGCGGCGTCCAAGCGTAAGAAAGAGATTTTACATGGTGATAAAATGGTTTAATTATTCACCTACAATGAATGTATCAAACAATACAGTAATTGTTTATTCACTTTAATAGTATATTGGAACGTGGAAACTTCAAAAAGAAAATTGCCGTAAAATGGGACCAAAATATTAAATGGTCGGTCGGACCATTGACTTTGAAAATCTGATGGTCCTCCTGTTTATTTGATGGCCCCGGACCATCGGACCATCGCTTATTTTGACCCCTGGCCATAACGGTCCTAATAAGTGGCGCCGAGTACTTCCCCGAAGCCAGTAGGAATCTACAACGTGGCAGGCTGGACTGCGGTGGAATAAATTCATTGTTCGTAATTATATATAATACACGTTGGTTCTTCAGCATTTAATTTAGAAATACAACACTCACCCATTGCTGGACTCTGTTGCTCTTGATCGCCGTCTTCTGACATGTAGCCAGGTGGAGGTGTTTCTGCGTAAAGATGCAACATATTAGGAGGATGACGCTACTGGATACGATTAGCTGACTCCATATATATTAGTACGTTAAAAAGAAACAATTATGTATACGAATTTCCACAGCAGAACCAATGTCAATGATACATGTGAACATTTAGCATCTATTTAGTACAAGGTTTGTATTCAAAATGATACCAGCTACCTCAATGACCTTACCTTACCATAACTTGTCTATCATACCTACATGGCTTGTACTTAAAGGTTTATTAAATTTATTTTTATTTGTCATCGTGAACTTATTATAGTATAAATGTTGTTGTATAATTATACACAATATATTTATTGACTATATGTACAGTGTACACACGCACGCATGCACGCACACACACACATATACATCAGCATTCATACTAATTACGAATTGATTTAGGTAAAGTCGACACATGATTATGAAATTCATATAGTATATTGAGCACTGCTTGTTAACCTGTAGCAAGACAATGATCATTACGCACCTGGCAAACTGAACGAGTTGCTGTCAAAGTTCTCAGGTAAATTGGTATTCTCAGGTATCGATGTTCCGTAGTTATTGTCCAGTGGCGGCAGTTCTGACGGCACCTCTCCTGGAGGGTGTCTTGGGACTAGGACTGCAGGAAGAACTAGAGCAAAAATGCAAAACATGCACTAATAAACATGCCCTGGATTTAATTGCTCAACTTATTATTATCTGAACTAGCTTGGGATCCAGAGAGACCGGGTACAAGATGGCGTTGCGCAAAAGATGCGTTGTTCCCCGACCGCCGAGAGCGGTTAAGCCGCGCACTTCCGCGGGACTGGGCGCACGCGACCGCGGTGTGTCTCGCGAACTCGGTGTGTCGCAGCATCTCGCGCTGCCCGCTATACGAATTCGCGCGCCGAAGGAGGGCGGGCGCGCGAATCCGTATAGCGGGAAGCGTAACATCGCGCAGTTTTCGTCACACACCGGCTCGGCTATGGCGGCCTTCGGTGGGGGCATTTGCTGCTGCTGCTGCAGAAGGGTGTTGCTATCCCCCGGGCGTGGAGGGAGGTCACGTGATAACGTTGACGATGACGTTCAAAACGTTAAACCTAACGGTAACCCTCACTCCAACACCGCCAACACTAACCCTCACACTAAATATATATGTGTCGCCGCGCTATATATAGGCATTGGGATCCACAAAAATTAATCTATGGTGTGGGGACAGATATCATGATGCAAAAACCCTAACCCTAACCCTAATCCTAACCCTAACCCTAATCTTAACCCTAACCCTAACCTTAACCCTAACCCTGACCCTAACCCTAATCCTAACACTATCCTAACACTAGTGCTGCCACGTTGCGGTCACCTCCCTCCACGCCCGGGGGATAGCATTACCCGCTGCGGAGCCGCGCTGCGCGGCAGGGGCGAGTTTTTGTTGCTGTTGCTGCTTTGCGAGTATCTACTTAGCTAC